ACGATAAGAGATAACGATAATGATAACAAGTTTAGATTGAAACGGAGCTTGGATTGATCTGGAAGAAGGTTATAAACCCTCTCGATCCTCGAACATCTCTAACGAACCTCCATCATCATCATGACAAACTCCATCGACAACGACTCTATCAAGATGGCACTGAAGGACTCAGACTATGGATTAGTCCTCAGAATGACGGAAAATAGCGCATTCAATGAAGCTACCATCCTGACCCCCGCGTACTCCCAAGCGATCGACGAAATCCTTGGTGATCAAGACACCAAAACTGCAGCGTGTACATCCCTCACCGTCTGCATTATACGAACCACGAAGCTGCTGGAAGATGTAGCCAATCGTGTTGACCTCGATGAAGCAACTCGGAAACTTGCTATACTTCATCTGCAACGGCGGATCAGAAACTTCGCACTTCACTTACTCCCCCTCGACTTCTCCGACATCACCGACCTAGCGATAAAGAAAGTTGAAGTGAAGCCACTCGTAGAAGAACCCCGCCCGGTACGCCCGCCGAGAAGAAAGGCGGCTACCATAGATCGAACCCGTAGAAAGCTTTGCAAGCGCTGCGGAGGATACGGACATCAATTCAGAAAATGTCCAGATTATGTTTGTTGCATCTGCGATGAACTAGGACCTGACCATCTGTCGATCCACTGCCCGCAACTCAATGGACGCATTGTACTCCAAGAGTTTAGCGATGAAGAGAAGTTTTTCGAAGCTCTCTTAGATTGGGAGCATAACCACAAGGCGCTCGCAAATCTAGAACTTCGGCATCCCACCGAACTTTCCCCTGCCCTTGAACCTCCCTCAGCACCTTCCGCCTCCACATCAGCAATTCCCGCACCACCTACTGCTACGATGGAAGAAGACGTTTAAAAAAGAAATACAAAGCCGGTGACTTTGTGCGTAGTAATGGGGTAATGTTACAGTCACTACGTGAGCCCCCAGCTACACGACCAGCCCTCTGCCACCTTGCACGGCAACGACACGATACCCGGTGTAGAGACTCGTGTGTCTCATGGTGTGATATGGCAGGTTTCACTAGGAAGTATACAGCACAAACTCGCAGCATCATTCTGTGCGCTACCCACAGCTATCTCTATATGACGCGCAGCTTTCCCACGCAATGCGCGCCATGCGCGCACCATTCCCGCGCTTCGCGATGTATACGCGCGCGCGCGTTCCCGCGCTTGCGCGCCCTATGGCGCCAGCCATCCAGAAGCATCCATCCACTGTCCACCAAGCTCCCTAGTGCGTATATTTCCATTTCCTTTATTAGCATAGTTCCACCTTTATTTTTATCATAGTTTCTCACTCATATATATTTTTACATACCTACTCGGTAGCGCTTCGGCTCCGCATGAGCGCGCTTAGGCGCGCTATATAAGCGCCAGCAGTACATACTATTATTTACCTTACTTTTCACCCAACTTTACCTAGTACTTACTACTTAGAAAGTCGCAGTAGAAATCTATTCATTAGCACAACACATCTCACATCCTTTATCTTGCTTATATCTTCACATAAGTTTAGTCTCTCTTATTTCCGCTTACACGCGCGCGCTTTCCCGCGCTTCGCGCTAATACGCGCGCGCGTTCCCGCGCCTTCGTACCTTGCGCGCACCTGCGCTTTCTCGCGCTTCGCTGAAGCGCGTACCTCTAGATCTCCGCTGCACCTGCTTCCCCTTTAGGGTCGAATGCACTTGCCATCTCAAGTATCGCAGACTAGGCAACGCACGACCTACAACTTTTTAGATACAGTCAGGAGCATTTCTTTGTTCCTCTCAGTATTGTTGTTTCTACAACTGGAGCCCACCGCGAGGGGAGCAGTCAGCAAGATCTAGTTTTGCGCATCTTCACACTTCACACTATTTAAACACATAAAGGTCAATCTCTTTGCATATTCAAAAGCTAACCAGTTTCTAGTCACGCATTCTCGCGCCTTGTGCGCGCGCTTTCCCACGCTGTGCGCCTCGCGCGCGCACCTTTGCACTTAGCACAATTCGCACATATAAGGTCAATTTCTTTGCAATTTCAAAAGCTAACCATTTTCTAGTCACGCATTCTCGCGCCTTGCGTGCGCGCAATAGTTCCCACGCCTCTGCGCCTTACGCGCGCACCTATACGCCTCGCGTGCGCATGCGCCTTCGCACGCCTCAATGCCTTATAGATTGCCCATCCGCGGCACAGCAAACGCGCCCAAGTTCGACGGCACTACAGACAACCTCGCCGAATTTATTGACGCATATGAGCAGCTTGCTGATGAAGCAGGACTCCAAGGACACGACCGCATTAAAGGTATTATCCGCTACCTTGAGCGCGACGATCGAGAACTATGGGGAGGTATGCCAGAAGCGGCAGTAAGTGATTATGAAGCATTCATGACAGAAGTGAAGGTAATGTATCCTGGATGGGATGGTAAAAGACGCTACGCGCTCGCGGACTTGCGCGCTATCGCGCGCGAATACGCTAACAAACCAATGACCTCTTGCACAGAACTCAGCAATTACCTGCGCGCATTCAGGAAGGTTATGCAGCCACTCATGGATGAAGACCGTATTGGAAAGGCCGAACGCGACCACCTATTCATGGAAGGAATCCCTAGCGATGCTCAGGCGCAAATTCGCTTGCGCCTTATGATCAAGTTCCCTGACCACCATCCATACGACCCATACCCATTCATGGACATCTTCGCAGCTGCGCAGTTCCTATTACCTGCGCGCGCTTTTCCCGCGCCAAGCGCACCAGTAAGCGCACCAGTTAGCGCACCTGTGGTAGCGCCAAGCACACCAGTGCAAGCTAAGGTAGCTAAGTACAAAGATCGCTACCACGCGCGTTGCGCAACACAGGATACGACCATTAGCGCTAATGCAACAGCTGGACTCTTCTATCGCGCACCCTCAGATGTTGTACTTGACAGAAAGCCACCAGTTCCTATTCACGTGCCTCGCGCGCGCGCCTTTCCCGCGCCTACGCGCGATTTACGCGCACCTCAAGCATCAACTGCGCCAGCATGCAAAGCTATATCAGACTGCATTACTTTAGATCACGAACTCGAACGCGCGCTCGCAAAGCGCGCTGCAGGCGCCTCTTCACTATCATCCTCAGCAGCATCATCTCCTTCACAATCCGCATCATCTCCATCACCATCAATCGCATCAGAAGTCAGGGATGACTCTAAACATCTATTGCACACTAATGCACCGCTAGAAACACGCTCGCCCCTCGCTATCGCATCACTTAAGGAAGAAACCTCGCCAATCGCACCATCACCATCACTGCTCGCATCATTAGAGGTCAGGGATGACCCTAAACATCTATTGCACCTTAGCGCGCCTATAGAGGAGCCTCCTACCGCATCAGAGGCTCAAGTTGCACCTTGCATCAACCAGAGTTTGTCTCTGGAAATTCCAGATGTCACTCGCGATCACGCGCATGTCGCGCTTTTTGCTTCCAGTGACTATCGCGCACCGGTAAAACATCCGTGCATCACGCTGCACAACCACCAAGCAGAGCATGTCTCAGGCGACCCTGGCGCAACTCAGGCGCACCATATTGCGCCTGAGGACGCGCAATGCGCGCGCCTAGAGGCAGTGTATATTTACCCTCATCTTGTTTCGCGCTTTTTGTCCTTTTCATGTTTGAAGCTCTTAAGGAGCTATATGATGATTCCAAACACTTTAATTTCATCTTCTCACCACCCCTTGTTCACGCGCCATGATCACGCGCATCGCACAATATGCGCGCGCGTTCCCGCGCCTCGTGCACTCATAAATTTAGCAGAGTTTTCACGCTACCGCATTTCTATCGCTTCTCCCCTTCTAAACCGCATTTCTATCATTCAACACAAAGTATATTTCAATCAGCCATCCAGGCGCGACTTAGGCGCGCGCCTGACACATACATATGCGCCTAACTCCCCTATCATCATCTTTAACTTTGCACTTCCCACATTTATTCGCATTCTTCGCGCTTTTGCTTACCATGTCAATTTCGTTCCTGCGCGCCTTGATGCGCACTATTCTCCTTCACCTATGCGCCTACTGCGCCTTGATATACCACCCTTACAGCCCATTTGCGCATCATTTGCGCCTAATTCAATGCTATGTACATCTCTTGCTAACGCATTCACAGAGAAATGGCCGTTCCTCGCGTGTTCGGCCAATATAATCAAATTCGCGCGAAATCGCCCCAAGGCGCGCACATCGCGCGCACCCTATCAGCTTGTAGGGCGCCTCTACACCCCTCACAGCGCCTCCCATTGGCGCGCCTTCAACCTGCAGCGCGTTGTGCAGGAATTCATTCTGCCAGTTACAAGCCCCCCCCAAGCGCGCCAGCCTCGCTCATTCCAACCCTACCTTGGGTAAAGCGTCAGCTCGCAAGAGACGCGAAGCGCGCTAGTCACGCGCACTCGCACGCGCTCAAGGAGGAGGATCAAGCGCCTCAGCCGCGCATCAAAGGAGGAACATATACCAACACTGTTTCATAGGATATTGTTTGTTTTACCCTGGGTTTCGTCCAGCGCTCTTTCATTTCATTTTCTCTCATTATAACACTGTCCAAAAGACTAATAACACACTGATATATATGCATATAGGGATTGCCTAGAAGAACATAGAAGAAAAACAACCATAGATCGTGCCCGCCTAGCTCAATAGTATTATTTTCTCTTCGCACGCATGACGCGGCACCATGCCCCTTTTTACCTTAGAACGCGCACATATGCACGCAGTCTTCCCACGCTCACACGCACATACGCGCGCAATATTCACGCGCCCATACGCCTCGCGCGCGCACACATGCGCGCTTCCCGCGCCTTGCTCATAGGAAGGTGTAGATGTTGACAGCTGCACGAAGAAGACAAGTCGGATAGGACATCCGCAAAGTCTACCATTTTCCCTTCATATTTTCACATATAGTTTTACTCACAATGTTCAAACCTTTAGCATCTAATATTTAGCGCGCCTAGCAGGACTTGGTCTGGACATGGATTGGATCGCTCCTGGACTGCGCCACTTTGCATCATACCCACCATACAACACATGCGACAATCACGCGCTTTCTCGTGCCTTGTGCGCGCGCGCTTTCCCGCGCTTTACGCCATATGCGCGCATCTCGCCCACACCTTGCGCGCCACATCCATATCACTCTCGCATCATCGCCCCACACCCATGGCATATTATTCACATCAGAGTCACCCTCGCAATCCACCATGCTATGCTCCATTCCCGCGCCTTCATGCATAGCGCGCGCACATTCTCGCACCTCGTGCATACCATGCGCGCGCACCTTCCCACGCCTTTGCACCTTGCGCGCGCCTGCGCTTTCGCATACATTGCATATCACGCGATAATTCCTGCACTCGCACATTCATCACCCAACAACCAAAGCATCGTACAAGCATCGCACTTGCATACTCTCACGCAAAATCCTCACCACGCGCGCGCTGAGTGGGGACACTCAGAATTTAAGTCCCTGGGAGATGTAGAGACTCGTGTGTCTCATGGTGTGATATGGCAGGTTTCACTAGGAAGTATACAGCACAAACTCGCAGCATCATTCTGTGCGCTACCCACAGCTATCTCTATATGACGCGCAGCTTTCCCACGCAATGCGCGCCATGCGCGCACCATTCCCGCGCTTCGCGATGTATACGCGCGCGCGCGTTCCCGCGCTTGCGCGCCCTATGGCGCCAGCCATCCAGAAGCATCCATCCACTGTCCACCAAGCTCCCTAGTGCGTATATTTCCATTTCCTTTATTAGCATAGTTCCACCTTTATTTTTATCATAGTTTCTCACTCATATATATTTTTACATACCTACTCGGTAGCGCTTCGGCTCCGCATGAGCGCGCTTAGGCGCGCTATATAAGCGCCAGCAGTACATACTATTATTTACCTTACTTTTCACCCAACTTTACCTAGTACTTACTACTTAGAAAGTCGCAGTAGAAATCTATTCATTAGCACAACACATCTCACATCCTTTATCTTGCTTATATCTTCACATAAGTTTAGTCTCTCTTATTTCCGCTTACACGCGCGCGCTTTCCCGCGCTTCGCGCTAATACGCGCGCGCGTTCCCGCGCCTTCGTACCTTGCGCGCACCTGCGCTTTCTCGCGCTTCGCTGAAGCGCGTACCTCTAGATCTCCGCTGCACCTGCTTCCCCTTTAGGGTCGAATGCACTTGCCATCTCAAGTATCGCAGACTAGGCAACGCACGACCTACAACTTTTTAGATACAGTCAGGAGCATTTCTTTGTTCCTCTCAGTATTGTTGTTTCTACACCGGGCCTTTAGGCCCTGATGATAGTTGATGAATAGAAGAGAAGTACGGAAGATGCCGGATTAGGTAAGCGATCTGGATCGCTTACATGATATGACGACATAGGTCTGGAAGACCTATTTATGTTATCAAGATAGAAGGCAAGCCTCGTGTTGCCTCATGTACTGATAGAAGGACGCCTCGCGGTCCTTATCCTAGATAGAAGCCTGCCTCATGCATGGTATCTCTGACTCGATAGATAAGCAGATTAGAACCCAGCTTCAAGCTGAGCTTAGATACGATAGAGTAGCCTTATATAAGGTCGAGGATTAAAGTAGATGTTCCTTACTTTAATCCTACTGGGTTTACCACCGAAACCTTTGTCTTGCTAAAGCTACTTGCCTGACATCAGATCCGCACCTTCAGAAGGACTTGAGACCCCTTCTGCCTGTAAACCGCTATCATTGTTCGCCTCCGCAAACATACGCAACTCCTGCTCTTCTGTAGGAGCCGACCTCGGACTCTCAGCATGAGATATCACTGTTGTGATCGTCGCTGTTAGATCATCCCAGTCCGCACGCGACACACGTCGTAACAGCTACGTCCATGGAGTGCGGGCATGGCATATTCTGCATGGAATAAAGTGGTCACTCGAAGAAGACCAGATTGATGCGCTGCTAAAGGCAGCTAAGAATCTCACTCCTGCATCGTCGAAACGAAGGAAACGGCAACCTTACACGATAGACTTCATAACCAATCTTTTGCAGAAACTGAATCCGGACGATCCCATCGACGCAGCTGTAGCCAGCTGCTTAACTACGGCCTTTTATTCCATCGCTAGAGCCGGAGAGTTCACTATTCCCAACCTAACTTCATTCAACCCCGCAGCCCACGTGAAACGCAGTGACATCCGTCACGAGAAAGACCGCAATGGTCTGGACACCACCATCTTTCACCTCCCTCGCACAAAAATGTCGCACAACGGCGAGGACGTATTCTGGGCCAAGCAGCAAGGTATCACAGACCCAGAGGCAGCTCTGGAGAATCACTTTCGCATTAACGATCCTCCGCATCAGGGCGCCCTTTTCTCCTACAGATGCAAGAACACGCACCGGCCTCTAACGAAGGCAAAATTCATATCGCGTCTCACTCAGGCAGCAAAAGACGCTGGTTTGAACCCTTTGCAAGGCCACGCCATTAGGATCGGAGCCACACTTGAATACCTCCTTCGAAACGTCCCATTTGACGTCGTCAAAACGATGGGGCGTTGGGCTAGTGATGCATTTCAGCTCTATCTTCGCAATCATGCCCAGATTCTCGCGCCTTACTTACAAGACAACCCAGCCATCCAGAATGAATACTTGCGCCTTTCAATGCCGCGCGTACGTTGAACAACGCGTGAGTCCTCGTCCACCTCCTACTATCATGGGAATCCACAGTTCGCTCAATGCGTCGCCGGACTCCTATTAACTTGGGAGTCGCAGCTCACCTTTCCTTCACAGGGTCAGCAGATCGGGACCGGAAGGCGCGCAGCGCCTTCGCCCAAATAGCTCGGAATTGTCTCTATAGTCGGGTCTTAGTCTTTCATGTATCAAAGTAGTAGTAGCAATGATTATCGTGAGCTTATGCATCTACTCGCATCTCAGCGACTCGCAAAGACAGGAGGATAAGGCCAGTTTTGAACAAGGTTGCAAGTCCGATGGAACGAAATGGAGAACTGGAGCGAGGAGAATTACTCAATTGAACTTTGCAATGCGAAATGATGCCTAAGAGGAGCATTGCTAAGCTTCTGAGCGAACTATTGAGGGAGTACAATGGGACTAAACTTACGTAGTCTATAAACATCGACTTTGAGGAAAGTAGCCTACGCATGGGTGAAAATTGTGACGACTGACCGTCAATCGACAGCACAAGACAGAACAGCTCGCAGCATCACTTTCCGAATAGAGTTTAAAATACATAGGGTGCACAACATGCACACCGTGACGAGGTGGGGCATGCTATCAAATCAAATATTTCGAGTTGAACGCTTGAATGGCGGAAGATGTACTTGCCTTGAGCCATTCAAACAACACAAAGAACAGCACAAAACGATCTGACATATCTGAGAGGGAAATATGCCTGAGCAGGGTGGTGCAGAGATCATTAAAGTGAACATGTGCATGAGCCATAGGGTTAATTTCATTTCAAAGCGCAGAGATCGCATACCTTACTGACTTCATCTCCATCTTTGTGTTGATGTATCGTATCCAATCAGCCTCCGTGTCTTCATGAAACTCTTGTTTTTTTCCATTCATCAGCGACGCGTCTTCATGGACAGGACTCAATGAGAGTAGTGATGTATCTGTCCCGAAGCTGCCCTGTGAGTCAAGATTGAACTCGCCTGGGTAGAACCTCTCATGAGCAATCCCTCCAAGCACTTGTATTGGCGTGAAATCAAATAGGCCAATGAATTCACCTACGATCTATACCCAGCAAAAAAACCCCATTCTGATCGAAATATCCAACGAGCTGCTCTCACACACATAGGTCATCATCCCCTTCATTGAGATTCCCAAAAGCGCCCACCATGTCTTCTCCTGCTACTGAGATGAAAAAGACGTCAACAGTGACTCCCCGTAAGACGATGCGAGGCCATACCAGCCACTTAACCAGCGTTGCGCACCTGCCTGGTACATAGACAGCTAATGAGTAGCGAGATGATAATAAGGCAGGAGTAAGGACCGTGGCATTGTCCCCGAATGACAGGATTGATGCTATTGCAAGTGAAGACGGGACAGACAGTAAGGTTGTGGGATGTCGAAACGAGTGTCGTCAAATGCAAAGGGGACGTTGAAGTGTCGAACTTGGTATGCTGGAGTCCTGATGGCAGGCAAGTGGTAAGCGGATTATATGATGGGATGGCAAGAAGTGTGGGTTACGAAGAGCAGCGAATGAGTTGAAGGTCTGGATCCAACAGAGACCGGATACAAGTGGGTGGATGCAACGAGCCCACCCGAGGCAAGAATGATTGCCACAGGGCATCAAGGGACATGACCTGCTTTACCCACGATCAAACTCAAATGTTGTAATCGGCGTTCGGAAGGCTGAAGCTCATTGCCGGTGGCGTATGAGGTCCGTGACGGATATGGGGCCATCGTGCCAATTATTTCCGAACGACCACCTCCTTGCGCGGGTACATTATATGACACGTCTCTAGAATCTAGACACGAACCCCATATATAACTGGACCACCTTTACAACACGCGAATGGCACTGATTGTACGGTTCTGCGACTATATGATACTTCATCACAGTTAGTGTTTGGTGTCTTCAGCCACAACGGACAGGAATTCGTACTTCTTATCAACACAGTATCAGGATCTTCCCGAACGTCCATGTTGTGCCACTGCTTCGGGTATTTTACGTCACCACAGGCTTCGTTCTGTCACTCCCTGGCGGGCGCTCCTAGCGCTCAGCGGTGTTCCGTCGAGACCTTCTCAGTTCGGGCAGCAAAGCAATCTTTTTGTGGTAAAAGAAGTTTAATTGAGTATACATACTCTATGGAAAACAGTACGTTCATGCTAGTGACATTAGCCCTACTGAATAACGATTTTATTTCATCATTTTATTCTATGAGTCCTTAATCACAGAACCCGAGGTGCCATTCTTTGGGGACCAGCGAGTCGCATCCACATTTTACCTTCTTGCAGGCAGTCACATAAGGTGTTAGACGATCGAGACTATCACATTCACTCCTGCATTACCGGACGATAAAACTACTAGATGAAGACCATATCATTCGTTCCTGTTAAGGCACGGATACGTACTTAGCAGGATGGGTGAGTGTTTGCTCCTTTGCTTGAATACTGCGATGTGCATGGGTCGGGTCTGAAAAAAGGCACCAGAAGAATCTAATGATCCATATACACGCAGACCACATTGGGGCCCAGCACGACCAGCAGCTAATCCATAATTCACCAAAGTTATGAAAAGTGAAAGTGATGTTTCAGCGCCTGAAGCTACACTTCAGGTTGCTCCATTCTCTCGCTCGATCCCGGCCCACGCCACGTCAAAGTTTTCACGGCACCCTGCACTGTATATGATCAATACATCAACCCTCCATCGCTCTCATCTTTATCTTCACACGTAAAAGGGTCTCCACTTGCCTGTGTTGCGGTGTGTCCCTGGTCGATGCATTCTTTCTCCCTATTCTGAGACTCCATACATAGTAACTGCCTCTTTGTCTCCAGGATCAATTCACCCTGCTGGTCATTGCTGCTAGATATTAAAACATACGTTCCCGATATCCCCTCATCTTCCCAGATTTTCAGTGATGTCGTCCTATACCCCACAGACAGATTTGCCGCTTGAACGATCTCGTCTTATCGGAATGATTCTGGGAGGCGTGTCCTATGGTGCATTTGCGGCCCACTCACGAGGATTCGGGAATTGACCTCTGTACCATAACAGGCGTACACCTTCTCCTTACTGTACAAGCAGTGACTGCTCTCATGCAACGTCCCCAACATGGGCAGAAAATCGCAAACAATCGTCGCATGCTTCTTTGTCACACCCTCCTCACGTTCGCGCTTTCGACGATAAGCTTTGCTTGCAGTGCCAAATATACGGAGATGATCTGGATAGACCTTGGCAATGCACCTGGTGGTCCTGCTGCGCTGATTGAGAACGCAACGCACTACCGTATCAACTTTGTGGCGATACTCTGGCAAGCACCTTTACTTATCTACCTACACGCAACATTGACGGTCTCATCTAGTGCTTATGTCATGGAGTGGTTCATGCAAGCGCTGCTCGTGAGTCGAATAGTTTGCCGTATGTGCAAGCCTGACCTCTGAAATACTCAGCTCTACCGATGTGTTGTGATATGGGATTGGGCGAGATACGTGATGATCCCCATGTTCGCCGGCTATATTGGCATGAGTGGTGCAGTTAAATCATTTACAAAACAGTCGTAGTCGCTGATATCTAGCAGCAGTGGCCATCATCGTCTTGATCCAGGCGAGTACCGGGACTTCATTTTACACTATCAACATCACACTTGCACACCTCGCCTTCCTAGTGGGGAACACCGTGCTTTATACCATTCTCGTGGCGACACGTTTGCTCTCCATGCGCAGCCAGATGAAGACGGCGTTGGCTGAATATGATTCTAGCACCTATGATACGATCATCCTCATGGTCATCGAGTCCGCCATGGCATACAGTGTCTTCGTCCTCATCTATATAGTTGCATTCTCAATGCATTCAGACTCTCTCTCCACGGTATGCTTCCTGTCTATTAACCACGTTGAAGTAAGCAGGCAGAAACCTGAGTTGTTCGTGTCTCTGACATTGGCTTCTTTTGTTTTAAACAATAGGGCATTACGCAGTTGTTCATCATCATATGCGTGGCACGAGGGAGGGCAGTCACACATGATTGGTCCACGCGAAATGCTCCAGCAGCACCTACGACTCTAGCATTTGCGGGGATTGCATTGATCTCAGCAGAAGGAACCGACATGGCGCAAGCAGCTAGGCCAAATCAGGACAGTGTCAATTCGCATTCTGTTTCGGCGAAGTCGGCAGAAGCAAATGCATAGCGTGCCATACTTATTCCCTAAGTTTATATAATTATCTTCGTCTGCATTACAATCTCATAGTCATTCTCTAAGTTCAAGTTCATTACTAATTTACTGTGACATACAGTATGTAAATAAATCACTGTCCAGACACATCATCTTTGACGAGGGCCTGAGCAGAGTGATGCAGAGTAGTTCAATCTGCAAAGTGCATAAGCCGTAGGGTGGACAATGTGGTCACTGGTTCATGTACCTTTCTCTCGCAAAGCAGACAAGATATGCGTGGATCTGGGAAAGTATCGCACTGATCGCTGGATGGCCTGGTCCGTCAGAAGTTCAGTCGACGATGATGGTTAGCACGAAGACCCACATCTTCCTTTGGCATAGCCGACTCCTCTTTCTGGATGCAAAAAAGAAAGGGTGACCTGGCGTTGCCGAGCATGGGGCAAGCAGAAATAAGATATGCTGACAGTCTATTGCTTGCCCGCAGACTATAATAGTCTTCGTAGCGTGATAGAGCGAGGTGCTTACCCAACCCTGAAAGGTAAACTCAACAACACCTGAACTATTCAAAGGTACCTCTTCGGTAGAGCGTGTCTGTGCCGTTATTTGGAGGATAAGTTCTGCAAAAACTGAGGTGACAAATAAATAGAACCAGACCAGCCCCCTGGCTGATCATAACGATCTCGTGCAAGGTTTGCATGAACACAGGAATGGGCAATTCCTGCATACATTTCCCTACCGTTGTCGAGATCGAAGATGGTCCACACACGTCTATCGACGTTGTATAAGAGTTGATGGGACAATGAGTATATTTGCTAACTTACTGGCAACGGCCTCTGCAAAAGAACGAGTATCCAAAACTCGCGCATGCTTGGACTTCGAGTAAGATAGCATAGTGCGTGACTGTATGCAATGTGACTACTCACTATTGCACCACCAATCAATGTCTTATGTGCGATACAGAGAAGCGTGGAACACCGTCCTCCAAGTAGGGTCCGACATAGTTGGTACAAGATTTGTAGAAAGTGGAGATGGATCGGACCATTTGAAGGGCCGAATAGAGATGGGGAGACACGTGGCGCTTCGTCTGCACAGCACTGTGAAGCTGTGGAAGAACACGAGGACACTGCATGGAATACGCACCTTGGCGGGTGACTCAAACCAACACTTGCGCAATCCTCTTGACCCCAAAGAAAGCATCCACTATCTTAGCTACCAGCTCGCCCCTCTCGTTCTTGCGTCGAGTGAATCTGTGTTAGATTGTTCCAAGTGGGACTTTGCCGTGAGTGATGCTCTGGTTGGGAGTAGGAAAAGCTGAAGTGAGGGAAAGATAGAACCACTCGCCGGCCGGTATTGGGGAATATCTCCCGGATACGTCGTCCTCGAGCTGTCCTGTAGGTCAGGATAGAATTCACCTGGGTAGGACCTCTCGTGAACAATAGATCTAGTGACTTTTATCTCAAACTCAGGTGAAAGCAGATAGGCCAGTGAAATCACCCACTATTCAGACCTTCAGAAGACAACCCACTCTCAACCAACAAGTTGCTATTGCGCATATAGTCTACGATTCCCTTGATTGAGATCCCCGAGCGTCCATTATGTCTTCCGTTACCGCTGAAATGAAAAAGACGTCAGTAGTAACCCCCTGCAAGACGATACGAGGCCATACCAAGGAAGTTACAGGCGTTGTACACCTGCCCGGTGGGCAGCGCATCATCACATGTTCCCACGATAGGTCACTTTGACTATGGGACCTAAAGAGCGGTACACAGATAGGTAGCGAGTGGCGAGATGAAGGAGATGAGGCAATAATTTCCATGTCGTTGTCATCAAATGGCAAGACTGTTGCCAGCGGAAGCAACGATGGGACAGTGAGATTGTGGGATGTCGAGACGGGGAAGGTTGTCGTCAAATGGAAAGGACACACTTCTTTCGTGCAGTCAGTGTGCTAGAGTCCAAATGGTGGGCAAGTTGTGAGCGGATCACACGACGGGACGGCAAGAGTGTGGGATGTGGAGAGCAGCGAACCGGCCAGAGGCCAAGACACAAGGCGGTATACGCGGTAAGATACTCACTTGACGCATCAATGATTGCTACAGGAGGATATAATGAAGAAATACAAATCTGGGACGCGAAGACGGGCGAGCTGCTGTCCACGATCAAACTCGATCGGACAGTTTGGAGCTTAACCTGGACATTGGATGAAAGAAGAAAGCTTATTGCCGGATTGGGGCCCCTCAATTACTCGATTAGGATATTCGACCCTGCCACATGGCAGCAGATCATCGTTCTGAAGGGTCATACATTGTGCTACTGTCTACTCCCTCACTTTATTTCCCAACGACCGCCTCCTTGCGAGTACATCCTGGGACGGAACGGCGCGTCTCTGGAATCTTGACACAAACCTCCAAATCGGGCCACCTTTTCAACACAAACATAACTCCACTTGTGCGGCCTTCTCCGCTGATGGAAAGCTGCTATCCACTGCAGGTCGGGAGGATAAAAACGTGTACATATGGACGTCCAAGACATCCTGAAAACAGCTGGCCTAGAAGATCTTCTGTCCATACCTGATGTGCGTGCCAACTTGACTCCCACTTGCTATCTCGTTCCCAATGGCTGTTAGGCACAAATCTGAACTCAAAAAAAAGGTATGTATCATCTTGTGACTATTTACATCAAAAGTTGAACCCAACCTTGAATAGAAGCTGCATCTATCATTTGGCTTTTCAAGTATAGAGCACATTTCCCTCTCCGAGCCATCACAGGATATAGAAGACAATTCGTTTTTGGAGGTATGTGGCACATTTGTCAACCTCGTCGATCATGATAGTGACATCGACATTCCAGGCTGATGCTACGCGCAAGGTTTCGGCCAGTTCGGGGAAGATGAACTCCTACCAGGATTTTTTGACAGCTCGCAAGTCGTTGCTCGTGTGGGTCACCAATATTTCTGCCAATTGATTCTTGTCCTGACACCTTTACTCTCAGTCCCCCGCAATACTTGGTGCCCGTGTGAGGTTTTCTGCATTACTTGGTCGCTTTCCCTACCTCCTTCACCGTTCCGAACCCAATCAAGCGACCGAAACTCAGCAGCCTCCAGTGCCCTCGGAGTCACGTTCGCGTGTGTTCTTCGATCGCCTATCCTCACTCCTTCGCTCTCCGCCGAACACTGATGAGATATCTGGACATTCGCAACTTCCAATGCTTTCACGATTAAGTCCACGAGTGCTCCTTGGTGACTTATCCAAACCTTTTTCCCGCTCTCGAATCTACGTCAATGAAGCAACCAAACATCGACAATCCCAAACGCTTCAGAGGTCGCGTTCAGGCGCACTCATTGGTCCCCTGTCTTCACTCTTCCGTTCTCCACCCAACGTTGATGAAGCAATTGAACTTCAGTGTTGCTCAGGGCCAACTACGTCTCATCTCAGTCCTCATGTCGACGATGTTGCCGCAATGCGGGACAGGGAGGTGCGTTTTTCTTGGATGTATCCTAATTCCTGGGTCCGATGATTTCTGTGCAGGTGTTAGTTGTTGCTCGTCGGCCTGAAACTGCTAGTGAAATAGCCAGGCGCGTCAAGCACCCTAAACCATGGGTTCGCGTGGTATTTTTTCTCTGTTGTGTGTCTCCAGGTACGGACGACGCCACTCCCACCACATAGACGACTTTTTTTCATCACTTTGGTTCTTTGTGTCCACCTGCCTTATTATTGTACCAAATATCATGTATTTCTGCGCGTATTGACATACCAGTGCATATGGATTCCAGTCAACTTGCATGCAACCTAACCTGGCGCAATATGTACATGTGTTAATGTTAGAGTGCCATGTACTTTGATGATAATCATTCTTGGCTAAATTTTTCGTCGTCACATACCACCAAAGCTACGAATCGATTCTGAATCATACTCGATTTCCCGTCTGTTTATGACGGTCGTACATGGCATTTATCCTATCACATGGAAGAAACATACCATTCGATCTACGGTTGCGACACTGATAGACAACAGGCTTCTAGGCTAACCGGCACGGTCAAAGTGTGGTCATCAAAGACATCGAATTTCAAAGTGCAGAGATATTGTATACCCTACCGATTTCATCTCCATCTCTGTGTTGATAAGTATATCGTATCAAATCAATCTCCGTGTCTTCTCGATTTTCCGTTCATCAGCGACGCGTCTTCGTGGACAGGACTCAATGAAAGTAATGTATCCGACCCGAAGCTGCCTTGTGAGTGAGGATTGGACTCACCTGGGTAGAACCTCTCACGAAAAATCCCTCCAGGCACTTGTATTGACGTGAAAGCAAATAGGCCAGTGAATTCGCCTACGATCTACATCTGCAAACCAGAATGATCTGTACAGAGCTGTACAGAGCTGTACAGCGCACAAGCTCTACAGCTTGGTCCCTACTAGCCAGTTTGTCACAGTAGCTCCTTACTTTGTGGATCTCTGTACAGATACTCACAGACCACCCAGTAAATAACAACTACCTGTGAAATTGCACATTTTTTCACTGTCTATGTATGTACAGACACTCACAGAGCACTCAGAGAGCAATCATTGTGCACACATTCATTTATGTACAGTTCACCCAAGGTGTTTAGGAACGATGGCAATATATTCAATCACGTGGTACGGAAACATCAGTATACTAGTAGTAGCAAAATACGAAACAAAAAACGGCTCCCAAACTATGGTAGTACTGTAACTCGGACACAGGAATGCGAAGACTTAGTCGAGGACGATTTGTAGATGGGTGTGTTTGGTCTCCTCAGCGCCATCAAGTTTTAGACATGCGGCCCTGGGTGAAAATAATCAGCATCCGAAATTTCAATAAAAAAAGGTTGTTCTTGCCATCCTGTTTCAGCCCATTCCTGAAGTTGTGATACTAACCTGGGACCGTGATATGGATGTTGAAGAATTTGATCGATCATTCTGACCATCTGGCGGTATATCGGGCCGTATTCCTTGGCGGAGAACTTGGGATAAGATTTGCCGTGACCGTTTTTGACGAGACCGTCGAGGACACAATTGTACTATAAAAATGTCAATACATGATGTCAAGGCAGAAAGTAAGAAAGTACCGCAGCGGAAACCAAAGCCAAACATGAGATGGGCAATTGCTTGCGAAAGATATCTGGCCTCTTCCGGGCAATTCGATACGGCCCTGTGTAAAAGAATCCAATAACTGCGTCACGAAGGCCAGGATGAGCGAAATTCCTTGTTTTGCCCTAGTGATTTTAATGTATGTCGTCGGAGTCAGTGCACAATCACTCACCAATGCATCCAATCCAAACCGTAAAAACTCGGATTCCGAAAGTAATTGTGAAGCAGCATTCTGGACCCACGTTGCACGTTCTTGAGCGGGGACTGATGCGGGGGGAACAAGTGAGTATGCAAGAGGTGCTAAGCCTATGGCAGTTTTCTTGAGTTCTGATCGCCAGGTCGAAAGATCGTCATATAACTTCAATAAAGACCTATTGTATCAGCGAGACTGTAAATTAAGAGAGCGAAACACGTACCAATCGAGCCATGTTACACTTTTGCTCCGGCCAAACCCCTGGATTGCAACATGAAACAAATTAGCGCAAGAAGAAGCAAACACGCACCAGCTTCGAATTGTTTTCCTTCCTTGTCCCAAATGACTAAAGTTGCGATGAGAACTTCAGTTACTGACCCTGGAAGATCACCAACAAAACTCGGGAACGGATCGTCAAGTGCGTGTTCCACACGACATTCTCCCTTGGTGTGCTCAAGGAAGCTTTTCCAGCGCGGCCCGTACCAAGCTAATAGAGTAGGTTTGGGCCCGTCTTCTGACCGTTTCATCTTTCTGTTTCTCCGGGGAGCCTGTTGGTCATCAGCGTGCTCGGCTACTTGATGAAGCAGCTCAAGAGTTTCAGGGTCGGGAAGGCGGGGCTGGCCATTTTTCTTGTGGTGGGACTCCAATACGTCGCTAGGCTTCGAGGTATGCAAACGATCACTGTGAGCCTCGTTCAGAATAAAAACCATTTGCTCACCTCAGAACATTGTGTCTGTTGTTGCCGTTGCACTCCTACCAAAGGATCCAGAGAGCCCTTAAGAGCAAAAAGAATAAGTGCAATGCCAGTAAATCCATGTCAGCATACCTGGGAGTCACTGTTCTGGTGGACGGTCGAGGATTGAGAGTTTGCTACAGTGTTTTTATTGAGGCTCGTCTGAGCAGCCGCATCATCCTCATCGCGGGAGTACTGAAAATCGAATTCAGGTGAGAGATGACGAATGACTCGAGGCTGCGAAAGTAGCGATTCGTTTGAGAAGCCTGTAAGATTGAAAGAGGGAACAACATCAGGTGGATCTCAGTACGATAAAGGAAATTACCTGGATGGCCATTGTGACGTTGGTACCCATTCTCATTGGTGTGCTCATCCTCGTCTGACTCATCCTCGTCCTCTTCCCTCTCCCCATCCTCGTCCTCATCCTCGTCTCCATCCTCGTCCTCGTCCTCGTCTTCGTCATCGCTGTCGTTGGTGCTGCTGACTTTGGGTCCACTGTTCAATAGCTGGGATTCTCGCAGTATAGGTTGACGCCTGACATTGTTGTCCTCCTCGAAAAGGGCCGGATCCAAGTTTTGTTCCACGAAGGTGGTGAGTGGCGGTATGATATTGCGTGGGTTTGGATCACGAGCTACTTTCGTAGCATGCTTCTTGACAGCCTTCGAGCCAACAGCGACATGTGGATTGTTAGCCTCGTGAAGACTACGGCCAGCACTAGGAGGAGCAACGAAACCAAACCTTCCGCCAGGTTGGTGCATTGAAAGACCAGGACCTGTGTTATCAATGCTCGCAGGACCATTGGTAACCGTGAGTGAACTATAAGGCGGAGGAACCGCCTGAATGCAAACATCAGCATTAGTAAAAATGAATACTTACATGCCTGACCTTTGAACGACCCTTCCGTCCTTTACGAGCTGGTTCCGGAGCCTGAGGGTTCACTGGGATATTAGGACTGAGGGACGTGGAGCCCTTGGGAGGACGACTTCGAGACTGAGACTCAAGGACTGCACCAATCTTTTCTAGCTGGCTGTTCCTACCTCCGGTCCCTGCATTTGGGCGGCCAGAACGTCGTGGAGCACCATCTTCAACTTCAGCAAGGCCAAGGGAAACAAGTGGTACGCTGAGTGTTTCGGTGAGGTCCGTAGCCTGACGAGATTTTTTGGGTACACCTGCCCTGCCAGTTGAAGCATCTGAGCCTTTGCGCTTCGACCTCTTCTTCTTGGGGCTGTTAATAGCACGAGGAGGCATGATTGCAACTACACAGAGGATAGAGAAAGAGGTGAAGCCTGAGTCTAGCGATTCATCAAGTCGCAAACTCACCAGTCTTTTATATAATAATATCATGTCTCGGCACCGGGTGGACCAACAGAATGGCCTTGATGCGAGTAATGGACAGTATTACATTTCAAAAATGCGTGCAACATCACACTGAAGCGCGTACCATGTAATAATCAATGCTGCATGTTTTGAGTGACTCATCTTGATGAGAATAAATGTGTGAAGTCAAGTTGCCAAGAAACATAATTTATAAGTCATACAAGTCACAACAACCAAAAACGCAGTACATCGGGTCAACGTGAGAATGAGAGTACAACAAAGTAGTAATGAAAAACGATGTTTACGTTGAATAATCAGCCTGTATGTATGCTAACCGTCTGACTCGTTGTCAGTCTCCGAAATACCATCAGCCTTCCGACGCTTGGGTAATTCCATGGGGAACGATTGCGAAGCGGCACGCTTCTCGACACGGTCTGCGAGAATAGCAGCAGATTTTCTGAGCGTCTCGACAGTGGAAATGAGCTCCTCGTCATCCGGAAGGCGGTCAAGATGAGTGTTCAATAATGTAAGGATGGTGTTGAAGGAAACAGGGTTCTCCATGTTGTCCTTCAAAGCCATACGCCACTCCTTGGCGAGAGGGATTAAGTCTTTGAAGTAAGGATGGATCTCGTCTACAAGACGGCGTTCCTCCTTCTTAGTTGCGAAAAAATTGCCCTTGAAGGCCGCGCAGGATTCGAGGTCCATGTTGTTCCAGCGATCAGGTATTGAGTTTCCTATCATATCCTGGCGTACCTGGCCATGGGGGCCACAGAATTTGATGCAAATCCAGATGAAGACGAAGAAAAGTGATTCGAGGTCGTCTGAAAAGCATTGAATGACATGCGATACAGGCAACGCCAAAGCGTTTGAAGACGTTTTCGGGATATATTTCGGTTTCTTTCCGCCCAGCGCTGCCTGTTGTGCATCTGAGAGTTGGGCAAGAAGCCCGCGAGACATGAACGGGATTGTTCCCTGTAGATTGGACGAACAGATCAGTACTAGACGTACTGTAATTAACTGAACGCACTTACCGTACCACCGATGGCATACTTCAGATCTGGGTTGATGCGCACTGCGAACTCCCAGTCGATTAGAAACCCTTTACTACCACCTCCTAACAGATCTACAATCATTGCGTTATTTAAGCTGCAGTCGCGGTGTAGAACCTTGCGTTCCTCCACCGCCGTGCGTTGAACTGAAATTAGATATGTCAGTTCAAAGATTGCCAATCAAAAAAAAACACTTTACTGATGACAATGTCCCTCAGCGCTTTCACAAACTCTTTAAGAGTTCGGAACATATGCAGGGGGCGAGCGCAGGGCGTCAAGACAAGTCGAACGTGTGAGCGACTGGTCCCTGCAATACTTAGGCGCTGCGGTTGTTTTCGATATTTGCTGGTCACATCGGGTTCTCCATTCGACCTTTCAACCACCCACCAATCCACCAACTCGGGAACGCCAGGGACGCCAGACATGCGCTTCAACATTTCGATCTCATTCAAGATCACCTGATCCTCCTTACCCTGAACCCAATGGTCTTTGATGATGAATTCCTTATCATCCAAAGAGACCAAGTAGCAGACAGTTCCGCGACTAACAAGGCCGCGACTCGCAAACAGGATCCTTGTGATTGTGTAGATCGTGTCCCTGACACGAATTTTGCCACACGGTTCAGGTGACTGAGCTGAATACGGGAATTGTGAAGGATGGGGTGTAGCAGAATAGATACTGTCAGGCTCCTCAGGCGCTTGGGATGCGAGGTTGAGAAGGGGGGTGCTGGAGATGGCAGTGGCTTGTACCAGGTGGGGATCCTCCAGATTCTTCATAGAAACGTGCATACCATCGTCAGCATGCGGCTCTGACTCGGACTCGGACTCGGACTCTGGCTCTGGCTCTGGCTCTAGCTCTGGCTCTGGCTCTGGCTCGGACTCGGGCTCTGAGTCGGGATATATCATCTCGATGACAGCGCTTGGTGCACCCTCAACATCACCGGGTGGTGGATAAGGGAGCTCAGACGTGGCTGCAGCCATGACGTGATCTGCAGGTTGCCGTTTGGCAGGGAGGTTCTTGATCGGACGATAGTTATTGGCATGGCGTTGGGGAGGAGAAATGTGTCTTGTGAAGGAGACTGTCAAGTCATAGCCTATGCACTCGAGGCTGCCGAAACGAAGGGCAGCAATAATGTGAGCAACAATGCTTGGTTTTTGGTAGATATTGAAGGCAGGGGACACGACACCACCGGCATGATCGTAGAAAAGGACTCTGAGCTCCCGGTACTCGTTGGTGAGTGATAGTACAAGCGCAAAGCGCCTCCAAGGCTGCTCGCTCAGCATGAGATATGCATGACTATCAGCAGCTTTCACGAGTCGCAACGCAGGTTGATATGAACTGTGCGTCAGCTCAGCCGATACCCTGATATTCCCCCAATTTGCTGTGATCTCGTCTGACAAGAGGAGATCGGGTTTCCGCTTCACCTCACTACCAGGTAATGCTTTATGTGCGTGGGCCGCAGTCCACGTGCGCGTCGCAGTGGGGTTGGCTAGTAGTTTGGGCTCTGCCTTCGCTAAGCAGATAGCCAAAGCGTTGAAGAATGATGAGAAAATTTCTTCGTGAGTTGCTTTTGCGGTTTCGCCGGTCCCTGCATTGCCCTCCGAATCTAAGCTTTCAGGTGGTTGAGAGTGAGTTGTTGATTCAGATTCGTTTGTGGGAGCAAGAGTTGGAAGGTCCCAGTTCCATAGCTGCGCATCAGTATCGTACAATGGCACCAGGTCATCTGGTGAATTTTTGCTGAATTTTGCTTTGGTACGTTCGTTGTGATAAAGGATGTTTTTGAGTGGGATCTGGAGCGTAGATAGATCCGGTAGAGGTATGCTGAAAGGCTGAAAGATATGAGAGAGCATGTGTCCTAGCGATTGCGAATTAGAGGGTTCATCTTCCTGCGTAACTAGACGATTTAGTTCCTCGGCCGTGTACTTGTTCATTGTAAGGGCATCGCCTGAAACAGCGGCAGGGAGCGAGACCAATGACGACAACTTTATTCTGTAGCCGCCCGTCCTGAAAAAGAACTGAGGTGGCATTTGTTCGGTATACTCTAAGCTATAATATGACAACGGTGGGAGCAACAAGATGCCCTTATCGCACGGCGTCACTACATCCATCAATGCTCATTGAACTAAGAATATATCAGAAAGAAGCTCGTTGACAACCAATAGCACAAAAGTTAAAAATACAGGCAGGAAGCTACATAGAGAGCGGAAAGAATGTGTTCTTGTCCCAAAATTTATTTACCCAAAACTCTGACACGTGCTCCATGCTGTTCTGTGAGGTAAAACGGCTGTCTGCACTGGCTCCAAAGCGAGGAATGAGATTAACAGGAGCCTTGATCTGCGTCAGTGGTATAATATCGCCCACTAATGTACCGTTGGAACGTTTCGCCCTTCTGATCGAGTGCAACTGTGTGGCAGGATCACGAGCGCTTGTTGTACCATCAAACCGGTACATATAGACAAGGAAACGGTCCTCCCATGACCAATCCGTGTTGATTCTTCCAACTGGACGCATGATAAGTCTAATTTGACCAATTGTGTGACCTGAAAGATAACAGTGAGAATGTATTCAGCATGATAGAAGGTTGTAACATACCACGAAGACCATGAGCAGGCCAAAGGCACCCTGACTCGTTGTTCACAATAGCTGAGTCGTACCTACCAGAGTTCCAGACATCAGAAGGCGGCACACAATTCAGGGTCTGCGCGGGCCGTATGATGCTACTGTCGTGAAACTCTGTGTCCTGTAGGCGAAGTTTGAACCAGATTTGAATTTTATCAAATGGCAGGGAAGCAGTAGGTCCAGCCCTCCTGGCTCCCCCAATTGTGTGGACATAATTCTGTCCGTGGGTAGCTTCGCGACGAAGAAAATCAGCAATGGCCAGCCGTAAGTCAGGAAGGCCGAATTTGATAGCAGCATCGTTGATGGAGATGGATCTGATGGATGGGGAATATGTGAGATGATAGGCCGTGCGTCCGATGACGAATGTGCGCAATGGCAGAGGGACAGTCCCAACCTCCTTATGCTGGAGGATCTTCGCAATCGCAAAGTAATTGGTGATTGGGCGCGAATGTCCAGGACATTTTATAGTGGCCGTAAATTCCGTGGGGAGGTCATCATCATCATCCGCATCAAAGTCAACATCATCACCAATATTGTCATCCTGTAGCCTCGAGCTTGCCATACCATCCACGAGACTCATTGCAAGGTCAAAGCGACGGCACTTATCAACCCGGTCGAGATGTCGACAAATTTGAGGATCATAGTTGTTGTTGTTGCTTGATTGCGCGGGGTCTTTAATCTCTGTAATGTGTGCATGCTCTGTTGTGTCTGCAGTCCATTGCATGGCGACACCAGTGTTGCGGATGCTGGGAACTATACTCTGCATGAGCTCCAATTTTGGAATGTACCAGTTATCGATAACTTTGTTCTTGTTGCCTCGACGAAATCCTCCAGCTGTGATAGCGTGTTTATTGGCGTGAAATTCATCGAGGGCTCCAGAAATGCGCTTGATGTCGTCTTCATCAATACGTGGTGACTGGATGAGATACCGAAATTCCATCAATGCTCGGACAGCAGTGATCACAGCACTAGGTGCTGCGTCCGCACTGACTGCAACGATCGAACGCTGAATGTCACGTTGAGTTCGACCTGTAACCTGTTTTAGCTTGGAGATACCACCGTAAAAATGACGAAAGCCAGTGACGGGCTGCAACACAGAAAACCGGAAATCAATTTCCATATCCCCGACCGCACAAATCATCCACTTGACGTCGTGATCGTAGAATTCTCGGTGAATGAGATGCAGAAATTCTGGAGTGAGGAAATGAGACGGTTCACCAAGGGTCCAGTCCTGCCAGAAAGGTTTAGAGACACCGTTCAGGCGAAATTTCTGCGCTTCGCGAAAGAAGGCTTCAATATCGTTGGGATCTGCCCTTGTTTGAACGACAGCCAGCTGTGCAAGTGTGGTTGATTTCGTGCGAGGTTCGTGACGGAAAGGGTCTCCGAACTGCTTGAACATGGCCATGGTGACCGGAGATGTTTTCCCACCGACAGTAGCTAGCATCATAGCCTCTGGAGTGTCGACAATATAGCTTGCCAGGGGGGTAAAACAATAGCGGCTATGTCCAACAGGGTCTGATAACATGACTCCTTCACGTGCAGCCTGCTTGAGTGGACGCAGGACGATATCTAAACATTCATGAATTAAGCGATCCTCGAGTACACCTCGCATGCGTTTATTCTTATGTATAAATTTAGGTATGGGGAGCAAGGCGGTGAGTACAAAGGAGTTGGACGATGTCTTGAGTCGTGTGGACATGTTGATATTCGCAAGGCTGACGAGAAGCGGGTGTGCAACTCTGTCACCCGTCATCGTGGATATATTCGTTTTGTCGGATGATAGAATGGTTCCAAGGAGTGTTGCGCCTTTGGGTAGGGCAGACTGTTGAGAAACCATTAAGTTCAGCGACTGGTGCAAAACATGAATATATACCTGCATATTCCATGCGTCATCGCCTGTCATCCATTCTGAATATACACGACACAAGCGTTGTGCAGTAGTATAGACCCTGCGAGGCGTGAAGTCTAACCGATCGTGAAAAAAGGGATGATTCAGAATGGCTGAAATACAGTCCAAGGGATCACGCCAGTACAAAACGACGGGTGATTTGGTGGGATGACTCGTAGAGAGCACTTGGGACATCCAGCGTGGACCACTGGGCAACATTTCTGCTCTGCCTCGCAGTTCCTTGGCCGAGGAAAAAGATATTGGAAGACCCTTAATCTTGACAAAAGACTTATCATCGGAATTGTAATGAAAATGAAACAATTTGCTTACTATGTCGAGTGATAAAAAACTGTCTATCTTCCCCATGCTCAATCCTGAGCGCAGTAACCACGATGCAATCTCCCAATCCTTCCGGCCACTGAATGGGTAATAGGGATTCTTGGCACGGTACACACTATTCTCATCAGAATTGAATAAGTCGAGGAAGGTGTACCCCATGCCATACGTCCGAGAAGATTCGGGATATTGGTCGACGAAATCTGAGGCACCATTCGGAAGTAATCCCTCCTCAGAGGCCTGGCCACCACTCTCACCGCTACCTTCAAATGACTCGTCTCTATCTCCGAATGTGAACTCAACCTCAGCCTGAGGCCCACCACCGGGAATATTCGGTCCGTCCAAGTCATCTGTATTCATAGAATCGTCAGATAGGTCCCGCAGACGTATTAAATCCTGTAGCCAGGTGCTACATCCTGAGCGAGGCTGGCTCATGTGACGAGCAACAGCAACCTGATCTCTGAAACTGGCTTTACCGCATGAAGGACACTGGAAATTGGACATGATGGTCCTCGCAAAGTCCGACACTCGTGAGTCGTGAGAAGCCCAATTCATAATCAACAACTTACTCTTTGTTTCTCTGAAATGTCAGCCCCACCAATCAGTCTTAATCTCAGCAATGATATCCCATCATCATCTTCGCGCCTGATGCCTTGTACGCGCACACACTCTGTTCAGCAATGTCCAAGTTGTCACTCGTGTCGTCACGATTCCAGCGGTATTTCTGACCTGTACGATATAGCTGATGGTATCAGGTCAATGGTAAGTCAATCATATTGTATCGCATTCGCTCTAAGTAACATGGTACTTACAGTCAATCAACGACACCGATGAACTTGAAGCCAACCTCGTCATGGACCTAGCGAGGGCGAGGCGGGATGTATTTAGGGCGGAGAAGGTGCTAGCGGATTGTGTAGTGCGAGAACACGAAATCATGGCGAATCTTTCTAAGCACCAGTCCGACGTTTCGAAGAAAAAGCTCGACAAAGCAGATATAGGATTAGGGTGTATGCGAATTACTTTTCAAAAATACGGTCTTTCTCACCGTTCACTTGCGCCATGCAGTTTGCAAGGTAAGTCATATCTGTTCACATTCGCCACTGCAAACTTCATGTCTTATCACAGAACAATCCAACCGTCGTGTATCAGTAATTTTAGACTGATGACTCGAGCTATTCTTATTCTTTTGTGTTCAAGTTCGGCGCGCGCATTAGTAGTACTAGTATGTACAGTACTACTACTATATATTGGTATTTCGTTGAATATAATGTTTGTATCGTAATTGGGGACAATGTGCAAATTCAAGCTAGCAATTAAAAGGAAGTTCCGAGCCTGCTACTACTAAGTACTAAGTACTAAGTACTAGTACTACTAGTAGACTTCAACACTTTAAAAAGATTGAGGCCGTTGAGCTGGAAACCATTGAATTTATTTTGAACAGTCTGACCCGGTTGTGAGCTCTGTGACCACTTTGGCGTCTGGGGCTGTACGTTCTGTGAGCTCTGTCGCCACTTTGGGTGGCTGTGGGAAACTGTCGAAAATTACCATATCTGTGAAGAAATTTCTAGTTTGCAGATGTATACCTGGCAAAAAACCCATTCTGATCGAGATATCCGACGAGCTGCTCTGGCGCACATAGGCCGTGATCCCCTTCATCAAGATCCCCCCGAGTGCCCACCATGTCTTCTCCTGCTACTGAGACGGACAAGACGTCAACAGTGACTCCCTATAAGACTCTGCGAGGCCGTGCCAGCCACTTAACCGGCGTTGCGCACCTGCCTGGTACATAGACATAGACAGCTGATGAGTAGCGAGATTATAATAAGGCAGGAGTAAGAACTGTGGCATTGTCCCCGAATGACAAGATTGCTGCTACCACAAGTGAAGCAGGTTGTAGGATGTCGAAACGAAAAAGGTTGTCGTCAAATGCAAAGGGGACATTGTGAACTTGGTATGCTGGAGGCCTGATGGCAGGCAAGTGGTAAGCGAATTATATGATGGGATGGCAAGAGTGTGGGTTACGAAGAGCAGCGAATGAGTCGAAGGTCTGGATCCAACAGAGACCGGATACAAGTGGGTGTATGCAGTGAGCTCACCTGAGGCGCGACAGGAGGGCATCAAAATCAGGGACACGATCCTGCTTTACCCACGATCAAACTCAAATGTTTGTGATTAGCATTCGGAGAAGGCTGAAGCTCATTGCCGGGTGGCGCATGAGGGTCACGAATATGGGGCCATCAAGTCCATCACTCTATTTCCGAACGACCACCTCCTTGGGGGTACATTTGGCATGTCTCTAGAATCTAACCTGACACGAACCCCATATATGACCGGACCATCTTGCCAACATGCGAATGGCACTGATTGTACAGCTCTACGACTGAGTATATGATACTTTAGCGTTTAGTGCCTTCAGCCACAATGGATAGGAATTCGCACCTCTTGTTCAACACAGCATCACCCCAGCACAGGATCATCCCGAACGTCCATGTTGTGCCACTGCTTCGGGTACTTTACGTCACCACAGGCTTCGTTCTGTCACTATCTGGCGGGCGCTCAGCGCTCAGCGCCCAGCGGTGTTCCGTCGGGACCTTCTCAGTTCAGGCAGCGAAGCAATCTTTTTGTGGTGAAAAGAAGTTTTATTGAGTATACATACTCTGTGGAGAACAGTACTAGTACGTTCATGCTAGTGACATTAGCCCTACTGAATAACAATTTTATTCCATCATTTTGTTTAATGAGTCGTGATCCTGACGTCCCTAATCACAGAACCTGAGGTGCCATTCCTTGGGGACTAGCGTCGATCCCGGCTTGAGCCACGTGAAAGTATTCACGGCACCTTGCACTGTAGATGATTGATGCATCAACCCTCTGTCGCTCTCGTCTTTATCATCTCACGTAAAAGGGTCTCCACTTGCCCGTGTTGCAGTGACCCTGGTCGATGCATTCTTTCTCCCTATTCTGACTCCGTATATAACTGCTTCTTCTCCGGGGCCAATCCATCCTGCTGGTCACTGCTGCCGGATATTAAGACATACGTTCCCGATATCCCCTCATCTTCCCAAATTTCAGGTATGTCGTCCTATACCCCACAGACAGATTTGCCGCTTGAACGGTCTCGTCTTATCGGAATGATTCTGGGAGGTGTATCCTACGGTGCGTTTTCGGCCCACTCATGAGGATTCGGTAGTTGACCTCTGTACCATGATAGGCATATACCTTCTCCTTACTGTACAAGCGGTGACTGCTCTCATGCAACGTCCTCGACGTGGGCAGAAAATTGCAGATAATCGTCGCATGCTTCTTTGTTACACCCTCCTCACGTTCGCACTTTCGACGATATGCTTTGCTTGCAGTACCAAATATACACAGATGATCTGGATAGACCTTCGAGATGCACCTGGGGGTCCCGCTGCGCTGATTGAGAACGGAATGCAATACCGTATCAACTTTGTGGCGATACTCTGGCAAGCACCTTTACCTATCCACCTACACACAACGTTGACGCTCTCATCTAGTGGTTACGTCACGGAGTGGTTCATGCAAGCGCTGCTCGTAAGCCGAATAGTTTGCCGTATCGTGCAAACCTGACCCGTGAAATACTCAGCTTTACCGATGTTTTGTGATATGGGATTGGGCAAGACACGTGATGATCCCCATGTTCATCGTCTATATTGGCATGATTGGTGCAGTTAGATCATTTACAAAACGGTCGTGGTCGCTGACATTTTGAGCAGCTGTGGCCATCGTCGTCTTGGTCCAGGCGGGTACCGGGACTTCATTTTACACGATCAAAGCCACAGTTGCATATCTCGCCTTCTTAGTGGCGAACACTGTGCTTTATACCATTCTCGTGGCGAAACGTCTGGTCTCCATGCGAAGCGAAATGAAGGCGGCGTTGGTTGAATATGACTCTAGCATCTATGATACCATCATCCTCATGGTCGTCGAGTCCGCCATGGCATACAGTGTCTTCGTCGTCGTCTACATAGTTGCATTTTCTGTGGATTCAGACACTGTCTCCACGGTATGCTTCCTGTCCATTTACCAAGTTCAAGTAAGCATGTAAAGACCTGACTTATCTGTGTCTCTGACACTGGCTTCTTTTTCAAAAACAAATAGGGCATTGCGCAGTTGTTCATCATCATACGCGTGGCACGGGGGAGGGCAGTCACACATGATTGGTCGACCCGAAATGCTCCAGCAGCACCTACGACACTAGCATTCGCAGGGATTGCATCGATCCCAGCAGAAGGAACCGACATGGCACAAGTAGCTAGGCCAGAGCAGGACAGTGTTAATTCGCGTTCTGTTTCGGCGAAGTTGGCGGAAGCAAATGTATAGCGTGCCATACTTGATTTATTCCCTAAGTTTATATAATTATCTTCGTCTGCATTACAATCCCTTTGGAATTTTATAGTCATTCTCTTAGTTTCAGTTCATTACTACTTCACTATGACATACAGTATGTAAATAAAGCACATCATCTTTGACGAGGACCTGAGCAGAGTGATGCAGAGTGGTTCAATCTGCGAAGTGCATAAGCCGTGGGGTGGACCATGTGGTCGCTGGTTCGTGTACCTCCCTCTCGGAAAAGAGACAAGATATGCGTGGATCTGGGAAAGTATCGCGCCGATCGCTGGATGGCCTGGTCCGTCAGAAGTCCGGTGGTTAGCATGAAAATTCACATCTTCCTTTGGCATAGCCGACTCCTCTTTTCTGGATGCAAAAAAAGGGTAACCTGGCGTTGGCGAGCATGGAGAAAGCAGAAATAAGATATGCCGACGGTATCCATTGCTTACCTGCAGACTGTGATAGTCTTCGTTGCGTGATAGAGCGAACTCCTTGCCCAACCCTGAAAGACAAACTCAACGACACCTGAGCTATCCAAAGGTACCTCTTCGGTAGAGCGTGTCTGTGCCATTATTTGGTGTATAAGTTCTATAAAAGCTGAGGTGACAAAAAATAGAGCCAGGCCAACCCCCTGGCTGGTCATAACGACATCCGTGCAAGGTTTGCATGAACGCAGGAATGGGCGATTCCTGCATACATCGCCCTGCCGTTGTCGAGATCGAAATGCTCCACACACGTCTATGGATGTTGTATAAGAGTTGATGGGACAATAGGTATGTTTGCTAACTTACCGGCAATGGTCTCTGCAAAAGGACGACAATCCACAACTTGCGTATGCTTGGACTTCGAGCAAGATAGCATAGTACGTGACTGTATAAGATATGGTTACTCGCGATTGCACCAGCAATTGATGTCTTCTGTGTGATACGGAGAAGCGTGCAACACCGTCCTCCAAGTTGGGTCTATACTTTATGGTATGGGGTTTTGCGGTCTTTCATGTAATTTCAATTCCATCTCATTGTACTCAAGCATGTATCTTATATTCTGCTGCTGGGTTATCACATCTCTCAATACCTTCAATCCAGGAAAATGGGCAAAAACGACTAGTTTGTGCGGCACGAAACATCAATTCTTCATCATATACATAATGTCAGATGGGAAACTTACAATGTATTGACTCGGACACGAAATAAGAAGCGTTGCCCGACGTCGGTAAATTTGTGGGGGTGGCTAGCAGGGGTGCTCAATCCTGCAGCAAGTCGTTACGCACAAAGCTCGATCCCTCATGCAAACTCCGCAAACATGGCCTAGAACTCGTAGTGGTCGTTGGTCGCCAGCATGGTCTGTATTTCCTCTTTCTTTCTTTGGCCGTCCGCTGGGTTTCAATCCAATCCCAGTCTTGATATAGGTATCAAGACTGACTTCAGTCCTGGTGATGGGCGCATATCCTATATCTGTGGCAGGACTTTAGTGAAGAGTTAATAATAAAAAATCCGCTTCCTTGAAAAAATACCTGTAACACTAGCCCATCTCAAAAAACTTATGCTTGTTTATGCCTCGCTCAGTCGCTAAACGGTGATGTGTGGTTGAAGTCTCGCAAGCTAAACTTCAGGTTCCTAGAATACAATTCACGCACGCGCAACCTTCATGCGCTGATGCAAAATATCCGTGCACTGTTGATATTCAAGCTAAGCACTACTTCCAAATGGAAGCATACATACCAATACAAGTCTCGTAGATCTGTTGCCAATAGGCCAGCGGTCGTGCAGCAAGGAAATACCGTAACTACTGTCTTTTGAAGGTCCCACCTGCGTGCTGACTACCGCGAGAACCAGACGTCACAAGCCCAAGCCATGATGGCAGGACAGAGCGGTCACGAAGCGGTGGAGATGGGCTGCAATGATAAGCGGACCCAGAAGCTGGCCCGGGATAGGTTGCATGGGTGGGACAGTCAGACTCGGTTGGAGAACGCTGTCGTCGATGATAGTGGTGATGATGATGAGCAAAAGCAAGGGACGTGAGAATCCCTGTCAAACTCAGAAGATCTGAGCATGATAGCATTGAAATGACGCTGATATTCCTGCCACCGTAGTGCCAATAACAGCACCTACTACTATGCAAAAACTGCACATGTAGCACGACTGCAGAATAAGCACTGACCCTACTATACAACTGTATTCAGTAAATAAGCCTGAGTGAAGAGAAGAAAGTCCAACCACGGCAGATCTCCTTGCGACTCGGAGTTTTAATGAACTCTTCTCCTCTCACCACCATCACTGTTATCATCTCGCTGTACCAACTCCATTAATAGTTATCTTGATCCTGCAGCTTTATAACGTACTCCGAGCATGTTCGCAGAGATAGTGCCGTGCTAATTTGGCTAGGGAGGCACTACTGCTGTTTATCTAGACAGCGCATTGTGAGTCTAACCGATCCCACCTTTGCATTGGGCTGCTTGCGCTGACACTGTTGCAGATTACAACAATGAGAGTCGCTTCACATGTTTCGAGTCCTTCCTGGCTATACGGTATACTGCCAGTGGTGCCAAATTCTCGAATGAAACATGGATGCTGGTCCCTGGCCGGTACAAAGTGAGATAAGTGGTTGGTGTACTCGAACGCCAGTGGGAATGAAAATTCTATATTCACCAATCTGATCACGATTAATTTTTCTGTGCGGCGTGCTCTAAACGTACCTGCGATCGTGAGGCCTAGCTAGGTATCACGCGCTAATCCTGTCACAGCCCGAGTTCACTGGGCATCACGAGGCAATCTGAATCAACAATGATTCAAATATTCAAGCTCCGACCCTTGACGACACGGTACACCCCATTCTCAGAGAACTCACAAATGAATGCATCATTGATCGTCATCATAACAAATGCATTAATATTGTGAAATCTGGGGAGTACGACAGAGTGTAGCATTTATCCGGCAACCACAATATTGTTCTTCAAAATATCCAACGTTCATCAATTACTTATGTTTAACTGTCCGGCCGACCCGGAAAATATCGTCATGCAGTTTCGGATCTCACTATCGAGGCTAGCCTTGTGATAACTTATACACGTAGTCCCCATATACATTTTTCTTCCTTGTTTAACCCAGATATCGTGAGTCTACAAAAAGATTCCCTTGTCACCCACCTTCCTCGCTTTAACTATTGACGCTTTGACTTTCCACTCACCATTAGCCTTTGGGATGTCGTCTAATAATCTTTTGCCTAGCCCAAAGACCGTTGCTGTGCGTGTGTTCCATCGAAATGTCTTCGCTATGCTCTGTGCCGACTCATCTTTTTAGATTTTAGGATGTCCGTTTAGGTGAGCATTCCAACGTCGACCTGCACTGGTGTGACTACAATCTTACAACACCGGCTATAGCGGTGGTCAGGTCAGTTTTCTCAATAGTCTCTTTTAAATCACGACTCACTCCCTGTTCTCTCAGCCAAAACCTGGCGTAGACAAAGGTCCTATCCACCTCGTTCAAGCAGGACTCATTAACCAGGTCGAAGAACTCGGGTGGCATGTCGTTTTTGACGGGCACCACCAATTTGAGGGTGTTCCTCCACCATCGAATGGCATCCAAGGTAATGGCACCAGTGATGTTGTTGTTGATACGGCGTTAGACGCATCCATCGCGAGGTTGAGAAGCCCTCTACTCGTTGCACAGGTCTGCAAGAGTGTCGCATCTGCCGTGCAGGCTCATGCAGAGATGGGGCGCCTCCCCGTCACCCTTGGCGGAGACCATTCCTTAGCCATGGGCACTATCTCGGGAACCCTAAGGTGAGCATCTCCGTTTAGGCGAGCTCCTTCTACTGTTGTGACATTTTATCTACAGAGCATATGATCAAGCTTGTGTCATCTGGATAGATGCTCACGCGGATATCAATACGATATACTCTACCGACACTGGAAACATCCACGGCATGCCTCTCTCCTTTCTCCTCAAGCTCAACCCCCCTGCTCCGTCCCCAGACTCGGTCCTTGCGAAATTCGACTGGGTTTCTCACCTCCCAGCTGAGCGTCTCGTCTACATTGGTTTGCGGGACGTGGACAAGGGTGAAAAGGAAATCCTGAAGAAACACAGCATCAAGGCATTTAGCATGCACGATGTCGACCGGTAAGTTTGGGATCTGGTGGAGAGAAGGACGCTCACGCTGACTGTGCTTCACCTAGCTATGGGATTGGCAAGGTGGTCGAAATGGCGCTCGACCATGTCAACCCGCAAAGAGACCGTCCTATTCACCTGAGCTTTGATGTCGACGCGCTCGACCCAAGTGTTGCGCCTAGCACGGGGACACCGGTGAGTATTTCAGTATTTTGGCACGTACTTCTTGCGTGAGATGAAGTCAGCCGTGCGATCTAAATGCTTTTAGTGACTTAGTGCGTGCTGAAAAAAACCTTTTGCTTGTTGAAGATGCAAGAATGTGCACGAAAATGCCCATTATTCTCTATTTATCCTGGCCCTGAAGGGGCATTTAGAAAATACGCCACGTAAATATATGTTGGCTTGTGCAGAGACTTTTCAGTGCCCACGTTCCTTGGAAACATAGGCGGTTTGATCTGTGACAGGAATGTCCAAGCCTATGACGGGCAGATATTGTATTCACAAATTAATTTCAAGTCAAATTAAACGTCAAGTCAATGAGCGGAACTGACCGAAATCCTGCAGGTGCGCGGTGGGCTCACCTTCCGTGAAGGACACTACATTTGCGAGGCAATTCATGAGACTGGGTTACTTGTCGCGCTTGACTTGATGGTACGTGTCTTACCTCCATCTCTGCTCGCATTGATATGATCTGATTTGGTCTATCGCACGCAGGAGGTTAACCCCGCACTTGCAGATGCTGAGAGTGTACGCCAGACCGTGACGGTGGGGTGCTCATTGGTCCGTTCTGCTTTGGGTAAGTCGTCCATCTGCTGCCACGTTCGCTTTTTGCGCGGTTGTTTGCTATTCTTGAATGAGGATGCATGATCGCATGTGCACTTTTGGCCATCTACAAGGACTACCTACGGCGTGTATTATCAATGACGCTCACTATCTGTTTGTTACACAGGCGAAACTCTTCTCTGAGTTGCGAGTGTCGTAGACCAATCTCGATGTGACGATGTTATGATCTAGTGGCAGTGAGTCACATCTGCTTTCTCAAATGCACAATGATTAAGCTGTTCGGCAACAGTGAAGAGAGGTGTTAGATGTAGATTTGATCTCCACGTAGACTAGACTGGCAATCGGAGGCCGTGCTTGTTCACGTGCCACATTGTTAGACGTGATATTTCTTATTTGTATCAGTTAAGCATGCAAACCCTGTCTGATGTGTTCGTGTTGATAGATTTTATCAATCAAATTATCGAGTATACAATGTTCGATGTCAATAGCTGCCGGCAACATCTGAGGAAAACGATGAGTCTCTAGCACGAAGACAAATTAATGAACAGGCGCAGCCAAAGACGAAATCAATTCTGAAGTTCTGATGCAGCACATCGCGTTCAATGTTGTTGAGAAAAATGAGTTGCATGCTTCTACAATATTTTGAACTTCGAAGGACGACACTAATTGAGTTTTCTACAGTCGTACAGGGAAATATCCGGGTGCACTGCGTGTTGTACTATTGTCCGTTGGCGAAATCTATGGTCTCTAGAGATATCGACAGTATTGACAAGTCTAATAATCGGTGCCAAGAAGTATATAGACACGATACATGAAGCAAGCTACGTATACCCAATATTAATCGTATCACAACACCCATCTCCCTTCAGCTTGCAACCCAGATGCCCACACTTTCTGCCAGTCTGGATGAACACAAGACCCACAAGTTGTCATAGCACAAAAGTGCACCGGATGATCGGAAACTGCAACATGAACGTCGTTCAAGGAAACGAAATCCTCGTCGGACACGGCAGCATTACCATCTTGCAAGGAAAAATAACCCTCTTCAGTGTCTTTGGACCCTTGTATCTCCGCGGGTACGCGCCGGCCCTTCAGCATCGAACCAGGGAGCGTCAACAGTTCCGCGTGCAGCTTCGCTCCTATGCTATATTCAAACGTGTCGAACGGGAGTTGGACTCGGGGGAAAACCAAAGAGGCTCTTTCGAGCCTCTCGAAAGAATTCCACGGAACGTACGACATCCACAGAGGCGTAGCGTAGTTTTGAGGTCCAACACCGCGCCTAGTTCGAAAAAGGATGTGTAACCATGTGTCATCCTCCTCAGGGGGGAGGGCGATAAAGTGGGTGATGGATGCCAAGAAGGCTGATCCTGAGGCAAGCGTCGCCATTTCCCATGTATCACAGCTCATCCTCGATAGCGTTAATGTTTTTGTGTTCCACGGAAGCGGTAAACTTCCACGGTCTGTGCTCTTGTCCATACGGGTCCATGCGAGCTCTATGCAGGATGTCACGAGGTACAGACATGAAAAGTCGATTGCGAGCGATGATGCGCCCAGGAGTAGTGGAGCGATGAGGTCAAGGTCCGACACAGGCTCAGAGGTGAAGCTGCTGTCCACGGGAGCGTCTGAGGGACACTCATCCAAACACTCTCCGATCCAGATGTTGCGTACGTGAGGTGTGTACTCGAAACGGAGAGCAGGATATGTTTGAGCATATTCGTTCTGCATGCGTAGAGCATGCAAGAAAGCTGGCATGTTATCAAAATCCAGTAATACGGTGTGCAACATTATAGGCAGTGCAAGGTGCCTAAAAGTGCGGGAGACAAGACAAAGTTCACGAGCGGTCGAGTATAGATTCGTCGGCTCATATTCCTCGTCTTGAGTAAAGGTGGGCTCTGCAGCATATTTTATGACGATGGCGACGATCTCGGCGGGAAGGTCGTTAAATGAAGCTCGAGGGGTAGTCTCCATGTTGGCTGAGTGATATGAAAACTGGTCTGAAGGAGCCCTCTTTTAACACCTCATGAACAATAGCAGAAGAAGTTCCACAGCAGTGGCCCAAGCCGCGTTAAAGTATGTGAACCGCGAGCTGTGACGGTCCATGCCGGATTCATTGTTGCACTTAGGTTTCATGATGTGGTCTGGCTCTATGGAAATAGTGGTTATTACATGATGCAAATGTGGGACAATAAAAGAACACCGACCACTGACAATATCACTGGAACGATGAACCTCATCCGACTGACACATTGCTTGTATGTATTGTCACTGACTCTCCAGGAGGGAGATTCTGGAGCAAGAGCTTGAGGGTAGCAGAATGCTTGGTCCTTCAGTGTACATCCAAATAAAGTCTATGGTTCTCCGACGTACTATTCATGATGCATCGATAAAGTCCGAAGGATCGCAGACTCTGCACCCCTTTCTCCCTGCTCCGTTCAGCTACGCACAACTACACAGACAGTTGTGTGATGTAAATTCATCTTTTACAAAGTCATTAACAACTTGAAGTATTGTACAGTGTTGATCAGCTATTGCTTGCGTGTTGTAGGCCATGATCATGCCGGACAGCGAGGATTTGGCCAAAGGGCCTTATCGTAGCAGGCCGTGATGGCGGCCTCCAAATTTCAAACAGTACACATGCTTTATTCTGTGATACTTCTGCCTCAATCGGGAGTCCCACGGAGTAGAGCGGGCGCTGCTGCGAATTGTAGAGTCTTATCGTATTCAAGCAAGTCGAGGAGAAATACTGGAAAACGATTGTAATTCATATTGTGAACCCGAACATCAAACATACGAAGTGATATCCCCAGCACACCAATCAGCACACGGGCAGATCACCATGAGCTTCGGATGACTGCTGAAAATAGTCAAACTCTTTGATGGTTGGACTTTGTCACTGAAGCCTGAAGGGCTAGTGAGCTCCTTTGACTCGGACCAGTGTGAGGAATACTACCCCCTGGACTCCCGAGGTGCGCTTAGCTACATGGTTGGGCATCGTGGTTTCATACAACTTGTCGGGCTCGAGCAGCAAGAGTTTAATGATGTTCTGCGATGGTGAAGGGGCAATCAGAAACCGCATCTATGCTTTCCCGTATAATCTGATTATTCATCCGACGGCTGGAAGAAACCGCGTATGCAGGAGATGAATCGGATCATCCAGGATGCAAGGGAAAAACAGGGGCGAGGGGACGCACGTGTCTAAGTCGTGGCACAGGGAGATTCGTTTGTAAAGGGAACAAGGATAACGCGGAATGAGCACTTCAACGAACACTTGTACGACCCTCCCAACCCAAAATTAATCGTCCACCGCAAGTCCGCTGTCTCGACCACCAGCCCTCCCTCCCGATCTTGTGTCGATCAAATTTGTCTAGTTGTTCTAAGTGAAAGCTTGTTGTACGTTACATTCTGGGTGAAAAAGGAGTACGTGCTGAACGGTGTCAAAGCATCTTCGCAGAGACCTGTTGCAAAATTTTGAGAACGCTGTGTACAACGTTCCGAAGTCTCTAACTCTTTCGTGAGGAATGCCTCATGCACGTCGATTGACACTTATTCAGGAGAATATAGGCTTGTTAATTCACCAACGATCTTGGTACCTGAAGACAAGGAGAACCTGCTCGAAGAATCCAACAAGCTGTTCTCGCACGTACATATAATCCCCATTATCCTTAGCCCCGACCATGTCTTCCACGGCTGCTAGGATCAAAAGGGCGTCAACAATCAAGATACAAAAGATTATGCGAGGGCATACCAAGCTGGTCCGAGGCGTTGCGCACCTACCCGGTGGGCAGCGTATCATCACATGTTCGAGAGACGGCTCACTTCGACTATGGGACCTAGAGAGCTGTACCCAGATAGGCGAAGATTGGCGAGATGAGGAGGATGAAATAGGGGTATGGAGCATGGCATTGTCTCCAAACGGCAGAACCGTTGTCAGCAGCTATCTTGATGGGACGGTGAGGTTGTGGGACGTGGAGACAAGGAAGGTCATCACGAAATGGAAAGAGCCCAGTGGAGACGTCAACTCGGTATGCTGGAGTCCAGATGGTGTACAAATTGTGGTCGGATCCGCGGATGGGATAGCAAGAGTGTGGAATGTCGAGAGTGGCAAACCATTGATAGTCCAGGGTTTGAATCCGATCCAGACAGGACACGAGTCGGTATACGTGGTGAGTTACTCACCCAAAGCAACAAAGATTGCAACGGGAGGGTACAGCGAAGATGGAATCGAGATCCGGAATGCAAAAACTGGCAAGCTGCTCTCAACAATCAAACACGAATATGCCGTTTGGAGCTTGGCCTGGACGTCGGATGAAAATAAGCTTATATCCGGTTCAGGGAATGGCTCGCTTAGGATATTCGACACTGCCACATGGCACCAGATTGCCGTTCTGGACGGCCACAACCAGGTTGTTGAAGCCATCACTTTATTTCGCAATGACCGTCTCCTCGCGAGTACATCTTGGGACAAAACGGCACGTCTCTGGAATTTGGACACTAACCTCTCTATCGGTCTACCTCTCAAGCACGAAAAGGACGTCGAGCATGCAGCCTTTTCTGCTGATGGAAAGATACTATCCACAGCTTGCGCTGATGAAAACGCATACGTTTGGAACATTCACGCCATCCTCAAAGCCGCTGGCCTAGAGAACCTCCTTTCCATCCCTGTGAGTACCAACTCAACTCCTACTCGCCATCTTATTTGCGTCGACTCTTAGGCACAACAATCTGGACTCAAAAAGAAGGTGTGTATCGTCATCTCAAGGCTTACAAGAATACAGCATATGCTTACGTCCCTCTTGCAGAAGTCGTTCTCAGATGCACTAGTATGTTCTGTCGTTCTCGACCTTAACATTGATCGTAACATTACTATTCTAGGCTAATGCTACGCAACGTCCAGCCCCCCTTCAACTTCCAGGATTGCTCGAGGACTTGCAAGACTGTGATTCTGTATGTCACCACTATCTAAATTTGCCGATTCACGTACCAACTTACCTGCCCAGTTCCCCACTAGCAACAGTCTCCATCCCCGTCCCTTTGTACATCGCCGCCGCAGTGCTTTTGCACCCTTCCGGGAGTCGCGTCCACGTACGCTCCAAGTCCGCCTTTCCCCACTTTTCTATCCCACACTGCCCGATGTTGATGACCCAATCGAACTCCAACAACGCTCAGGGCTCAGTACTTCCTCTAGTCGCACTCGTGTTGTCGAAGTTGCTGCGCAACAAGATAACCAAGTATGTTCTACGGCGGGTTGACATTGGCTGGTATCTGAACATTTTTGTACAGGTGTTGCACGTCGCACGGCCGCCGGAACGAGCTAGTGATAAGGAGAAACGTATCAAAAACCTTACATGGTGGAATCGTTTGATCCTGGTTCTCTCTTGTGCGTCTCACTCTCCCGTTGATGGTCCAAGTTTATAGTGAGTAGCACTTGGGCAATAATTTTCACTGTATTTTTGTCTTGTTGTAGTGTATCTTTCGTTATGTCACCAATGACATCGGTTAGCACCTCGCATCCTAAGTTATGCGAGAAATGGCGCCACGTGCTGGACATTTCTCGAGCGCTGGACCCAGTTATGTGTGGATGCTTCTCAAAAGAAAAATAGACTACCTACTCACCCGTTTGCTCGAACGTGGTACCATCCGAGTACCCTGTATGACACTAAACCTCCTGCAGATTTCCTTAGTTTTCAATACGAGGTTCGCTTGTTTCCAACACAATCTGAATCAGGTCATTCTGTGTGTATCCACGACGTCGTCTTGCGCTTGGGGATAGTGTCCGTCGAACACTGGAGAAATATCCCAACTTCCGCAAAGCGTTCGCGATTCCATGCACAGGAACTCCCCATTTGACTGTCCTCACTCTTTCCGCGCTCTCGACTTCACAACGATGAGGTAACCGAACCTCAACGATTCTAAACGCCCCTGGGGTCACATCCACTGGCAGATGCACTCATCAGTCAGTAGTTCTCACTCTTCCGCTCTCCACCCGATGTTCATGGAGTCATTGGACTTTAGTAATGACCAAGGCAGACTACCCCCTCCAACAGCAATCTTCGCATTGTCAAAGTTGTTGCACATCGAGACAAGCAGGTATGTATTCCTTGAATGGTTTAATTCCTGCACAGGTATTGTATGTTACTTGCCGACCGAAAACAGTGAAAAAGGCGAAATGCACATTCCTAACCCATGTGTTTGCGTGGTGCTGTTCCTTCGTTGTGGCTCCTAGTGCCAATGAGAGAACCCTGTCAGTGGTACCGACGAGACCCATTGCAGCAAAAAGTCCTGCGCGTTACCGCCGTCTCAATTTGCCTCCCTTGTCCTGACTTCTGCATTGTTAGTCATTCACTACCAGCCGTTTCCATCGTGATCGCTTTCTACATCGCTGCCGTAGTGTTTTGCATCATCCTGGGGATCACCTCCACGTGCGCTCCTCGCTCGCCTTCCCCACTTATTCCACCATTCCCCACCCGACACTAATGAACAAGTCCAAACTCAGCAACGCCCAGGACTCGGTACTTCTTCCCATCGTAGTCCTCCTGTTGTCGATGTTCCTGCACTAGATGATAAAAAGGTGCGTCTTTTTGGAGATATGACATCAATGGTTGGTGTCTCGAGTTTTATCTACAGGCACTGTATGTTACTTGGCGACCGGAACCAGCTAGCCACAGGGCAAAACGCGTCGAGAACCACAAATGGTGGGCTCGTGTTGTGCTGTTCCTCTGTTGTGTCTCCGTTCACAGAAGACGGCCACTGATTGTCTTAAAACATGGATAATTTTATTCATCTTTATATCCTCCTTTTGTCATCTCTCATTGTCTTTCTGATTTCATTAATGACAATCATTGTCGCCTCGCTTTCTAAGCTGTCTGTGGAGTAATGGGTCGATTTGCACGCCACTTGGCGAGGACTGTCTAGCCTGCAGGAGCTCAGTATGACGTGAACTTACAGATCTATCCAGTACATTTCACACATGTGCTTCACGTATCCCCCGAGCGCTATACTCACTTATAGGTGGATGCTTCTCGGAAGAACGCGAGACGGTCTACTCGCCCGTTGCGCTGGTCGCATGTACAAGCGCACTGCAAGGCACCAGCCCTCCCTCAAATTGAACTTTTTCAACACGGGGATTCGCTCGTTTCATTTTCATCAAGTTGGATTTTTAGATGTAAGGTGGGAAAAGATAGCATTCTAGTATCACTGTATACGGCTTTAGTTTCCAAGGCAAAATGGCTGGCACATTCGAGCTGGTTGTAGTTGATAGCTGGACGCTAGTACGTTTGCAATACAAATGAAGGTGCAGAAAATAAAACAGCGACATGACTCACTGTTGCGACGTGCCGCTCGGCCGACTACTACTGGCAGACCTTATATCCTTCATCCTAAGGTGCGCAGGTGAGTCATGTAGTTACACCGTGAGCTGCTCACACTCACCCCAAGTGCACAAATATAGTACGAACAGCAATCTCTTTTTGTGCTGCAGGGTCCCCCCGTGTCGCTACACTGTGCACTGACAGACATAGATGCTGTCAAAGCAGCGACAACGGCGAAGAAGGAGAAACGCATTTTTTGTTTCGAGGTGATATGAAATCTTCTGAGGGGAATCTCGAATGATATCTCTGAGGATGGGGGAACACTGTAGGACGACGACCAGCTTTTATATGCTGCATACACTCGGTATGGGCACGATTCTGAACAATTTGGCAGAATTGTTATTGCTATCAGATGGCACAGATTTAGGCAGAACCTACAGGAGCATATTGAACTGATTACGACCAGCTATATACTGCATGGTCGGGAGCGAAAAGCCGACGAGATACAGGTTGTTTATTTGTGTCCATGACTTGTCGCCTCGCTTTCCAAGCTGTCTGTGGAGTACTAGGTCGATTTGCACGCCACTTGGCTGTCTAGCCTGCAGGAGCTCAGTATGACGTGAACTTATATCTATGCTTTCGATGTGCGATGGCTCTTCGAAGGTAATGGGCAATGACAAATGCAATTGGTAAGCGAAGGATGATACAATCAAGAGCCATGATCGTCGCTCACCGTTTGCAAGATGTGAGTGTGTCGGTCCTCGTTTGAGCAACAGCCATGCTGATCCAAGTCATTGTCCACCGTTTGCAGGATGTGAGTGTGCCGGTTTAGTCTATGTCTTTAAATAATAGTATTTTTTGATATCCTTATCTGCTTTCAAGGAAAAGTGCCTTGAAGCGCCTCTAATTAGGGAATGGATCTCTTATTTTCGGGTAACAATGTCGTGACATTCATTTTTACGGGCGATTTATTTTGTCCAAGTGCGAAACTTGAAGTTTGTGTTGACGTACAGTCGGTGAAAAAATGGCGGCGGATATTTCATATTTTGGATTTCGCATATAACACTGACTAAATTTGAAGTTATATGCCCATCTTTTTGTCAGTTCAAGCTTCAAATATTTTCTTCACATTTCGTACATGTAAACCTATCCTAAAGATTGATAACCCCGATGTGACAGGTGCACTTATAGGTGGATGCTTCTCTGAAGAATGCGAGACGGTCTACTCGCCCGTTGCGCTGGTCTCATGTACAAGCACACTGCAAGGCACCAGCCCTCCCTCAAATTTAACTTTTTCAACACGGGGATTCGCTCGTTTCATTTTCATCAAGTTGGATTTTTAGATGTGAGGTGGGAAAAGATGGCAATCTCGTATCACTGTATACGGCTTTAGTTTCAAAGGCAAAATGGCTGGCACATTCGAGTTGGTTGCAGTTAACAGCTGGACGCTAGTGCGTTTGCAATAAAAATGAGGTTGCAGAAAATAAAACAGCGACATGACCCACTAGTACTGCTGCGACGTGCCGCTCGGCCGACTACGGCTGGCAGACCGAAGGTGCATCAGGAGACTAAGGTGCGCAGGTGAGTCATGTGGTTGCAAAGCGACCTGCTCACACTCACGTTAGGTCCACAAAGAAAGCCTGGACAGCAATCTCCAGTTGTGCTGCAGGATCCCCCCAGGTTGCTACATGCACTGACAGACATAGATGCTGTCAAAGCAGCAACAATGGCGAAGAAGGAGAAACGCATTTTCTGTGCGAGGTGATATGAAATCTTCTGAGGGGGATCTCGAATGATATCTCTGAGGATGGGGGAACACTGTAGGACAACGACCAGCTTTTATATGCTGCATACACTCGGTATGGGCACGATTCTGAACAATCTGGCAGAATTGTTGTTGCTATCAGATGGCACAAATTTAGGCAGAACCTACAGGAGCATATTGAATTGATTACGACCAGCTATATACTGCATGGTCGGGAGCGAAAAACCGGCGAGATACACGTTGTTTATTTGTGTCCATGAATAAAGAAAAAGATAGTGTCAATGTCGCGTACAAGGGCCCGGCACAAGGAGTGAGCGAGAGAAAAATGACATGAGATATCGACCGAGTAATACATATCGGAAGTATTGACGAGGATGAGCATCAACTTCTCGACTTTGTCGCTGCGCCGCGGCTAGCAGGGTCACTGTGAGTTCAAATGATGAAGCGATGGGTGAGAGATCGGGATGAGAGACCGGGATTCGAGTGAGCGTTCTGTGTCAGTCACGTTCAGAAGAAAAGATATGTTACATAATAGTTCGAGACCCTGCCGGAAGTTACGGCAATTTGCATAATGGTACTACCATAGTGCAATTTCACATCGTGGCCGATCCTTTCATATTACTGTAAATGAGCGACTACTTTGCTACTACTAGTAGATGTCATAGAGTTCAACCAAGTACGATCCATCTTCCGTCATGTTTATTAACAATTTTCAGGTGATCAATTCTGTCGCAAGAGCCGTCGAACTGGACAAGCTCCTAGTTTCATGTAATTTCCCCATTCCTTCCTCTGGGTGACGCATTCTCCTTCATCTACCCTCGTCTGTGACGCCTTATCTTCTTCGCTTTCCACTTTAACTCTCCTGCACCAGTAGTAGAAGGAACGTATGACTGGGTGGCAGGTTCTGCATATGAAACGCCTGCCGAGGGCCCTTTTGGTGCGCACGCGGTTGGCACGAGCACAATACCTGAAGTGGTGACTACACGAGAAGAATAGCCTAAGGCCATGGTGCTTCGAAGTCATGGTGCTGTATCTCATTGCTAACACAGTGATCATGCCTGGTATTTACCGAGCGTCAAGGCAGATGTTCTCACCCGAGGTACATAAAATAAAACCGTGCGTGGCAATTTCGTTTCTCGTTTATGGTTGTTGTACTACAATGTCAACAGTATATTTCATTCAGATACTGAGTCGAGTTTTGTACATAAACAATAGTCCATTGGCCTGCATACCCCAGAGGGAGGTTGCGAAGCTATGAGAATTGGTCTGGTAGCTGTTTAGGGGCGGGGGTACTTCCGCGAAGGTAGTACGAGACGCGGCACTGATACGAGGTATGCACGCTTGCGCGTGTGGCATAACTCACTACCGCGATGTGCTGCTCGGCCGATTACGGCTGGCACATCAAAGGTCCATTCTAAGGCGCCTAGGTGAGTCGTGCGGTTGACCCTAGTCGCACAATGACCTGCTCACATTTGGTTCAGCGAAACAACGAAAGTCTGGACAGCAATCTACAGTTGTGTTGCAGGATATCCCCAAATTGCCACATGCACTGGCAGACATAGATGCTGTCAAAGCAGCAATAACGGCGAGGAAGGAGAAACGCATTTTCTGTGCGAGGTGATATGGAATCTTCTAAGGGGGATCTCGAATGATATCTCTGAGGATGGGGAACACTGTAGGACGACGACCAGCTTTTATATGCTGCATACACTCGGTATGGGCACGATTCTGAATAATTTGGCAGAATTGTTATTGCTATCAGATGGCAGAAACTTCGGCAGAACCTGCAGAAGCCTGTTATCGATTGATAATGACCATCGTATCACTGTCAGGCCTCTTCTTCGTAACCACAGAACACTCGCTTTAATCCCCGGTCTCTCATCCTGATCTCTCATACATCGCTTCATCATTTGAACCTGCAGTGACGCGATACAATTGAGAAGTCGATGCTCGTTCTCGTCTATACTTCTGATATGTACTTGGTCGATATCTATGTCATTTTTCTCTCACTCGCTTCTTGTTCCATTGTACGCGATATTGAAATTATCTTTTTCTTTGTTCGTTGACACATATAAACAAAGTGTATATATCTCGTCTATTTTCATGCAGTATACAGTTGACCATGCGCAAAAGGATCTGAGATCCAGAACTGTTTTTAACAAAGTTAGTCCTTGCCATTAAACGTCGTGGCGTAAGTGAGTCTCGAGGGAAATTGTTTGTTTCAAGGTTATTGAGAAGCCGCACTTCGACAACCGAAACGACGATAGAGGGCGGACCGGACGCCTTCGAACGCCTCGGACCGTTGCAAAAAAATTACAAAATCATATCAGAAAAATGGCAACAGGTTTCTACAGTACGTACGAAATACATCATCCATAATAGATGTCCACTAGATGACATTCACAGTCAGGGAAAGTCTACAAGGACTCCGTGCAGAAGTGCGTGTGCTGGAGTCAGGACGCGGGCCTTTAACGAACTTGTTACGCTTCATCAAGGCTCAGGTCAATATGTAGTCAAGGAAAAATTATATTTTGCTCTGAAGATGCGACTATCGAGTAGCGCCTAGACCTAGCTTCGTGTTCTTGATAATAGCTGTCAAAGGCGCATCAATCCCGGTAGACGCATCGCCACCGATCCTATCTCCTTCTGCCCATCCCATAGAAGCGAGCATCCTGAACCCAACATTTGTTTGTTCGATCTTTGGAGCAGCCTACGAACGAGGATGTAAGAACCGCATTTGTTTCAAGTGGAGTGATCACATACCTTGCCAACTTCATCTCCATCTTTGTGTCGAGGCACCGTATCAAACCGGCCTCCGTGTTTCTTCATGACACTCTTGACTTTGCGCTCATTGATGGCACGTATATTTGTGGACTTGATGAGAGTAGTATATCTCCCCGTTCCCTTGCCTTTACTCTGACTCTTGAGGTTAAACGAGTTCGCAAGCTCGTGAACTTCTTTTCTCGACGCCTTATTCATTGGAGGAAGTACCATGTTGTTCTTACCGCTGGTATCACTGATGAAGCGGCGAATCTGCTTCTCCAGTGACACCATATCCACGATGGCATTCTGAATTTCAGCGAGCTCCCTTGGATCCAGCCGTGCAGCTGCCCGCATTGCCTTGCGCCCCTTCTTACCACCTTTCTTTGGAGATATAGGATCGACGGCATCGAGAAGACGGGCCTCCTCGCGAGCTCGTTTGTATTCAGCTTTCTTG